TATGCTAAATGTAAAAGTTAACATAGGCTGACCACACAATGAAAATGTTCAAAATTATGTTCATGTATTCAAAATGGAAAGCAGTCAAGATACGGAGGGATTCATTCAAGTCACGAAAAATAGAAAGATTGGAATCAAATATGTCAATACTTATCTTTACATCCAAGGTGTATAATTCAAATCTCATAATGTTAAGGAGATGCAAACCATAGAAAACACTAGTGCCAAATAATGTATCAATGAAAACATCAAGGACATAGGTCGCTGGTGAAAAGACCTTTGTTTAAAATGAATAACAACAAGGAAGATGTAAGACAAAATTGAAAAGGTGGGGTTAATATGCAAAAAAAGAAAAACAAGAAAATAAGAAGAAAGTTAAATTTGCGGTGTTTATGAAAAAGTATTATGGGTAAAACAAAAGCCAGGCCCAGTCAATTTTAAGAATGTCACTATGATTACCTCACATCACTATTAAATAAGCTAATTCTAATAATATTGAGGCAATGGTGGAACAAATACTATAGTGATGCTACCTTTAAAGATGATATTACTATTAATGTCAATTCTAGCTCAAAAAATATTGCATTCTCATATGACATTTAATATAAACGGTGAAGCTCACCAATTATTACACTAGTAGGGTGACAGTCAAGGGCAACTACAAATAGGAACCTCCAAATCACTTATCACCTCAGTGCTAATATTAAATGCTTGGAACAAAAGAGGGTCAATTGTGATGCGGACTTAGAAAGTCTAAAAATCATTTCTACAGAAATCCCCAAAAGGACATGATTCATATATTGAACTCAACTCACAGTCCCGAGATTATAACTATGACGGTAGTGGATCACATAGAGGGAATCTCATTTAGTGAAGAGGTTCTGAAGTTCCCAGATGCCTAATGTATGGAAATTAGCGACACATCTTTGCTTCATTTTCATAGAATTTGCATGTGTTTAGGAGTTAAATTAAATGAAAACTAATCTTATAATGTCATGTTTAGGAACCCAGCAAAATGAAGATGGAGATCCGCAAAATCGAGAGAAAGATGTCAAGGGCAGAGACAATGGACGGGTACCATGCAATACATTAATTGTCCATATGATGAACTATCTAAGTCCGTGACAGTTCCCGAAGCGAATAGAAAGAGTCTCTAAAAAATGATTTGGGGAAAGGACATATTAGTATTTTCACAAGACAATGTTGTCAATTGAAGAACGAACTTTGATGAGAAATTTGAATGAAATTCTAAGGGCAGCGTGAAGGACGGGCCGGTCTTTCGAGAAGATGATGCATCGATCAATGGATGAAAAGATTTTGGACATAAGCCAAAATGTAATGGCGGTTAGCTTGTAATTTGAAGATCCAAGTTCATCTATTGAAGATTTCTTCTCTGTTCAATTTTCATTAGTGAGTATCTCTAATTACTCTCTTGTCTCTTATTCTTCTTGTTATGTGTAACTAAACACGAATCTAGGATTACGAACCCTAATAATTTCAATTTGGTAAAATTGAGTTTGGGCTTATGAATATTTGATATTATTGCTTTGTAGTGTGTTATTGGTGATGAAAGTCACTCAATCTTGATTATTATGAGGCTTGGAAGAAAATTTAGGTTGAGTTAGCATCAATTAATAATAACTCAAGGAATAACCATTTTTAGTGGATTCTTCTAGACATAGGTTGAATTCCACTTAGCAACAAGCAATTGGGTGAAGGGAGTTCTCTTCGATTTGAATAAATTGAAGTAGATTGATATCTATGGTGCTATTGAAAGATACTCATAGGTTGCCTAAGTCTTTGCTTACATGTTCAGATCTACTTCATTCTCCAATCTATTCATATTGAGTGATTTAGGGGGACCGACCCACAATTGAGGTCACTTCCCTATAATTATCTTAAATTGGTCACAACCTTAGCAATTTACGACCTATGAGCGTAGTAAAATCTTATCAATCTCAATTCGAATAGACTCAAATCTTGCAATACTACATTGTTTAGTACTAGATAGAGTGGACTTACCATAGTCTACGTGGGGGATTTGATCCCAACTCCACTTGGATTTTATATTTCTTTGCGATCATTTATCACAATGCAGAAATTGAAAGTGAATTTTAACAACATCAATGTCTAAGTAAAAGGAGAATGAGAAGGTTATTGTGATCTTATAAAAGGTCTTTCCACCTATTAGAAAGACATCAAATGTCTTGTCCTTCAAGAAATAGAACAAGTGATCTTCTAATAAGGTTTATCATCAATAAGTAACAAACATAAAAAAGGAATAAAAGGTAAAAAGGAAGGTCTAAAAAATATCCTAGGTTTGTCGGAAAATCTAGTTTTTGCCTTTGCTTTGAAAGCCTAAGTTGCCTACGTGTCAGATTGGCAATAATACCTCGTCAACAGGACAACCTCCCCAAGGGAGTGATACTAGTTTGTATTTGAATTTCTTTGCCACATTATGTCCTACATCAGTCTAAACCAAAAGTATCCCCCATAAAATCGGTCACTTATTGCATGGAACCTGGGGTTGTGTGGCTGGGAGGAAGAAAGTCAATCAAATGATCTATAAAGAAAATATTCAATACGTTATCGTAAAATTATCTTATGGTTATCCTGACATACACAACCTGCGAACTATGATCCCTAAATGATGTAACTGAAAGGAGAATGAAACATTGGAGTTTGGGCAAGGAACAGTTGATAAGTCATCCAACATGGAGGATTATTTAAACCTTTTATCAAAATTTGATTTTATGTGGCTCATAGACGGTGGCTTGCTCGATGCGAACTCTGAAATGGGATCCTTTATTTGAATCGGAGGAGGAGGAGACAACAACGGCGGTGCGTGGATATCTTTTCCTTTCCACCAAACTTTCTTATAAAGAAAACGAGTTTTCTCTCTAGCTACTATTGTGGGTAAGCCTTTGCGAGATAGACATGGCTACCAAAAATCAGGAGCCAACCTAGTTGTGCTCGAGTTAAGGTAGAGAGTGGATTTGCTAGGAGACTTCCCAAAAAGAACTAATATTGGGATGAGAAAACGGAATAGAGGTGGTGGAAAAAATAGATTAGAATCAAATATGATTATATCTCGAAATATTATAGGAAGCTGCGGAATCCGAGTCATAATGAAAAGAAATGTTTACACTATTCTACATCCGAGAATTATATCCCAGAAAGAGGAAAAGGAACACAGAGGGAAGGAAAGGAGGACATGAGTCCTAAGGAAAGAATGCACATAGAAGATAAAGCGGGCGGATGGAGACAAAGCAAAACAAAAGGAGATAGATGAATTTCAAATACCAAGAAACAGAAAGAGACAAGGAACATGCAAAAATCAAGGAGGGTGGAGAAGTAAAGGGCGAGGTGTAGACTCGGAAATCAAAACGGAAGAAGAATAACATAAGCACAACCAATTAATTTGAAGTATTAAGGGCGGAACAAGAGTTGGAGGCATATAAACCACGAAAAGAAGGGACAAGGAGCTACAAGCAACAATAAAAGGAGGAATGAGGAGTCAAAGGAGATTCAGGAGCAACCAGAAGAGAAATATAAGGATCAAAAGAATAAAGGAAAATAAGTAACAACTAATATGGTAGTGTTGGAATGATGGGACAAAGCAGGAACGAAGGGGAGGATAGCATGGAGAAATCTGACATCCTCGTCGCTAGTAACACAGGTGAGGACATACCGGATATACGAAATATTGTGCATTACAACAATAGTAGCTCAAGATCGGGAGGAAGATGAGGAATTGGAATGTAACACTATCTGTAAAGTGTAGGGGATTCATCCCAAGAGACATGATATAGATATGAAGAGAGCCAGGGACTTAAGAAAAATAAACAAAAGACACTACGCACCATGGCCACTCAGGTCGAACAAGAAGTAGTAAGAAATGTTGATACATTAATGATGATTGAAAAATTATTGTTTGAACATAAGATTTGTGCTCTCAAAAAATTCATTTGTGAGATCAATAAGAAAAATCATTATTCATTCATATGCGATGGAACTTTTTCAAGGACCTCAGCATTTTGTTAATAAGGATGGCTAATTGTTCATAAAAAATATGACTTTCTGGAAGGAGGAATGGGAGAGGCCAGGATTGTGTTAACTATTTATCGGCAAATCACCATCAAGTTTAATGTATGCAATAAAGTTTCATGATTTCATCAGTGCATATGCCGGTAATGCGTTGGAAAGGTTGGAGCTATGAGAGAATTTAGAAGAAGTGGTTGAAAGCAATCAAGACCACTGGTAGTAGGAGATGATTTCAATGTCATTCTCAATGAGGAGGAAAAGAAACGAGGGTGGATTAGCTTTTACCCAAGCGAGGCCACTAACTTTGTTCAATGTCTTATGGCCATGCTTTAAAAGGCCAGGACAATTGGTAGTAGATTCACTTAGGTAAATGGAGAAGGAAGAAGAATTCATATTCAAGGTTAGGCAGTCTTTGGGGAATCGAGGCTTTTAACCTTTCTGTCATCAAGTGAAGTTCATCACTTAATTAGGCAATGATCAGATATGCTCCCCTCATGCATTGATATGCGAAGAAAACCTAAATCGGACCTTTTAAATTTCTTAATTTACGGACTAAGCATGGTGAGTTAAGAAGTTGTTGGAGATGGCTTGAAAAGTGATCTTATGGGCAATAGTATTCTGCATGGTTTTAAGGCAAAAATCAACGGAGTGAAGAAGGCTTTAGTAGTATGGAGCAAACAAGCGTTTGAGGACATTTTCAATAAATAGCTGCAGGACACCATGAGTAAATGAAATGTAGCTAGAGATCCTTTCCCTCATAAGAAAGTAGCCCAGGTATTCGGTCACCTCCTTTGTTATACGAGGCTACACCACTTCTGGAAAAAAACACGGAGTCATAAAGCTCATAATGGTAGTATGGCAGTAATGTTACGTCCTATTTAAATCATAGTTTATAGCTTCAATTCATCATAAATACAATTGTGAAATTATAAGGTACAAAGATTTAACATCCATAAGGCCCATTAGCTCGGTTAGTTGGGCGTCGTGCTAATAACGCGAAGGTCGCGAGTTCGAGACACATGGGCCTATGCTGTGGTTTTTTATTTTTTTGTTCGTTTCCCTTAGGTAGGCCCAATAATATATTATGCATGCTATAACACGGATATATATATTAAATGCCTAAAAAGTGGTAAAGCGAACTAAGCTAAAAATTATGTAAACACATTAAAGGAAAACACATTCTTTTCACGGAAATTCTTATAACTAGACAAGTTTATAAAACATATTATATACACAATATTATGATATTATATAATTATATAATATATATATATACCGGAGTTTAATTCAATAAATATGTGAAATAAATTTATAAGTATAATCAAATATACACAAAGAATAAATATATATTTGATATTATAATAGTGAATAATTGAATAAATACATCAAATTGTAATAGTATAAATTATATATATATATATATATATATATATATATATATATATATATATATATATATATATGGGGTATACTTATTGATAATTTCTTTCGAGTATAGATTGTGCATTAGTGTTAATAATCAAAATATATACGAAAACAATGGCTATACTCGAGTAAAATTTCATAAGTGATGTCATGCAGCTTTACCTGCTATCTTATGCGGGTAGAAAGGCTTATTTAGATGATCACATAATTTAAATAAGTTTAACAGTAAGGAAAATATGTATTCAAAAATATGCATTATTGTAGTAAAATATACATATACACATGTATGTATTTTATAATATATTTAAAATATACGAGGTGATTATAGGTATAATATAAACCATGTCTATTAATAATATCATATAATCTAAATTCTAAAATGATGATTATCTTATTTTTAATAGGAAAAAGGTTTAAAATATGAATTTAAATTATATAAAATTGAAAAAAATATCTCGTTAATAGTTTGGTTCAAAAAATTGCATCGTCAATGTTTTGGTCCAAAAATGCCCCTACTTTTAATAGTTTGGTCCAAAATATCCTATATTACTTTTGGGTCAAAAATGTCTCTTTCCTAATAAGCATATTATTTTTAAAAACATTATTTTTTTTAAAAAAAATAAAAATATTGTAACCCATCATTAATTTTTATATATATAAAATTATAAAAACTAAAAAAAATAAAAAAAATAAAAAAAATAAAAAAAATAAAAAAAATAAAAAAAATAAATATCTTTATTTATTAATCTTTTAAGATTAAAAAAAAAGGTATACGTTAAGATATAATGTCATAAAGAAAACGCGAAAAATTATTACACATTGTTTCAAATCACAAAATATCTCTCGATAATTTTGTTCATTCTTTTTTGAAATTATTATTTTAGCTTTGAAATAAAAAAAATATTATCAAATGTTTATCATAAAACTCTAATAAAAAAAAGATTAGAAATAAAAGTATTATATCTATTTTATAAGAATTTTTATTATTATTTAAATAAAAATTAATGAATTGAATTATTATTATTTACATCTATAAGCCTATATTGTCATTTAAAAATATATATGGTTATTCTATTTTAATTGATAAAAGCGAGATTAAGAAGAAGAAAATTATTTCTCAATCTTTTATTAGTTAAAGAAATTTTAAAAGAAAAGATGATGAAAAAAAGATAAAAATATTAAAAATATTTTATTAAAAATATAATATGTTTAGAAATAAAATATATATATGTTTATTAGATAAAAGGGCATTTTTGACCCAAAAATAAATAGGGATATTTTTTGATCAAACTAATAAACGGGGATATTTTTTTGAGGCCAAGAAACATTGACGGCGGAGACATTTTTTGGATCAAACTATTAGCGGAAAGGACATTTTTGTTCAATTTCACATAGCGTAAGAGCATTTTAACTCTTTCCCTTTGTAATATATTATTATGTACGCATAATTTATTGTATCACTTTTATATTTATTTATATACTATATTTTGTGTGTATATATTACGAATTATGATCAATTTTAAAATGTGAGTGTTAACTTAGAATTTGAATATATGTTATATATGTCAATTAATTTGCTATTGTGAAATAAAATAAAAGTAATTTTATTTATATAGATATTACTCACTAATTATATACTATGTAATCCTTTATTTCTTTTCTATAGTAGAACATTTGATGTAGCATTTTAATCCTAAATCAAATAAAGTAATTAGGTGTATTAGTAGTTTGCTTATAAATTATTTTTTTTGTAAAAACAGAGATGTAAAAATGTTGATTTAAATAATAATTAATACTTTAAAATAAAATATTTAAATTTAATTTAAAGAAATTAATAAATTTTATATTATATACATAATATATTAGTTTTGTATAATTTAAATATCTTATAGTATATATTTTCATCAAAATTTATTTCAATTCAATAATATTTAAGTGAAAAATTACAAAAAAAGTTCTTGTTTCCAAAAAGTTGAGGGAGAATTGCATATAGTACACCCCTCACGCATACACTACGATAGAATGAAAATTTTAATTTTGCGAGATGCAACACAAACAAAATATGATTAGGTCGAAAAGAGAGTATTTTCTTTTCTTTATTTTTATTATTTCATAGATATTCGGGCACAAAAATTAGAGATTTTTAAATTTCTTCTCTTGAGTTTGTATGCATCTTATTCCGGCTCTAAAAGTACAATTTCATGTTGAGATAGCCCTTTACAAGTTATTCATGGTACAATGAGTTATCATAGGAGTGATCGCAACTTTCTTTTCTCTGCGTCTATGGACTACATCTGTTGTTGCTAGACGAGAACTTTGGACAAGGGATTAAGAAGCTTGAAAGAGCGAGATAGATAGCCCATGGTTATTAATGGGGGATATAATGTTGCTCTAGATATGGAGGATAGAACACATGGCAGTCTAATTCAAGAATGCGAAATTGTAGATTTTAAGCGATTCGTGGAAGATGCAATCTAACAGAAATACCCAAGGTGGGGAGGACTTTTACTTGGACTAATAGTCCGTCTTGTAATATTGGCAAGTGCCATTGTCAATGACAATGGATCTTACAATGCCTCACTCTCCAAGTAGTAGTGATGGAGCCTACGTTCTCGGATCATTCTCCACTTAGCATTAGGTAAGAAGCTCCTTGATACTAGAGCAAAGCCTTCCTATTCTTCAATTGCTTATCCCAACGGCACGATTTTACGGAATGAGGTTCGCGATGTTTGGTTGATATACGGTGGAGGTATGAGGGGGTATGACAATATCTTGAACCAGGTTAAGGTGAATGAAATCGATGAACAAGAAGGAATTCACGAGGGGGTCAATGAAAAGGTGAGAAAATGGCCAAGAAAATCTCCAAAATCGGCAAAAAGGCTAATGAGGGGATACAGGCAGGTTTGAGGAAGAAAAACATGAAAGTACATCTAGAGAAGTGGGTGTTAATCGAAGAGAGCATTTACCAACAAAAGTCCGAGGATACAATGGCTCGATTGGGTGATGATAATACTACTTTCTTCTTGGCGAACATGAAGGGAAGGAAAGCTCAAAATCAAATTAATCTACTCACTATTGAGGATGGAGATATACTGGAAGAGTGAAGATATTACAAATGAAGCTATAAGATTTTATAAGAAGCTACTAGGTGAAGCCAACCTTGAGTTACAGTCATTAATCAATAATAATAAAAAATGGCCCTACATTGACAAGATCCACCGCGGCTCCGGCTCATTTCGGCCATTTAACAAAGAAGAGGTTGTTCATGCTTTGAATAGCATTGATGATTTGAAATCTCAGGAAGGAGGGAGATGATGGCACAATGCCCATTTTATCCAAAAAGCTGGCCATTAGTGGAGAAAGAGATATACAAAGTTGTTTTGAGTTCTTTAACAATGGTGAGATGTTTAAACCTATTAATACATACATTACTCTAGTCCCAAAGTTAAAAATCCTCCTCAATTAAATAGTTTCGACCAATATCTTACTACACCACCCTATATAAAATTGTATCCAAAATGCTCACCTTCGACTCAGGCTTATGTCATAGGTTTCCTAGTTGATGTGAACGGTACATTTGCGGAAGAATCTTTGAATGACAATGTCTACTCGGTCATGAGCTTGGTGAAAGGGTATGGAAGAAAGGAATATTACCAAAGATGCATGATCAAGGTAGATATGCAAAAGCGTATGATTCCTTGGAGTGGAACTTTCTTGAGCAAAATTCTAATAGGTGAATTTTCTATTTGGATTTATAAGATGGTTGATGCAATGTATCAGAAAGTATCATACTTCATTGTTATTAATGGATGTCAACTAGTCCTTTTGAAGCTAAAGAGAGGTTAGAACAAAGGGGCCTGTATCCCCTTATATATTCATTTAGCAATGGAATATTTGACAAGACTATTCAAGGAACTACAAAATGACTGATTTTTAATTTCATCCAAGGTTCTAGAAGTTAAGTGATTCAACTAAGTTTCGCGAGATGACTTGTTGTTGTTTTGTCGAGGAGATGTTATATCTGCAAGGATGATTTTATTTGCTGACAATTCTCAATAGTTTATTGGATCAATAGCTAGTCGGAATAAAAGTTGCATATATTTTGGGGAAGTAACAAGCAATGTACGGGAGAGAATTTTGCGAACACTTGGTTTTGGAAAATGTGAAATGCCATTCGATATCTTGAGTTCTTCTCACCTCTAAAAAAAGTATCAATAAGAGCAGTGTCAATCTTAGCTTGATAGGATGTTGGGAAGAATCACTCATTGAATTTGTTAAGTTCCTAAGCTATGCTGGAAGGCTACAATTGATCAATGTGTTCTAGTTGGCACTTGAGCATTACGGGCACAAATTCTTTTTAAGCCTAAGAAGATCCTTGATGAGACAATGTACGAAATTCCTCTCGGAGAATGGTGAATGTGGCCAATAGAAAAGCTTTAGTAGCTTAGGATACTTTTGTAAGCAAGATCTGTACAGAGAATTTGAATATTACGGTGTGTTTATGTGGAACAAAGCTGCTATTATTAAACATTTATGGAATGTTTGCACAAAAAAGGACAAGCTATGGATCAAATGGGTGCATATATACTATATGAAGGGACG